TATCAACTACCCTCTCACTAACAGTGTTTAAAGGTCCTCATTTCCCCCAGACTTCTACATTTTTGCCACCTTACTGGGTATGAAATAGCATCTCCTAGCCTTCTTAGGCAATATTCCAATTTCAAGACTGAGCACCTTTTCCTTGTCAGTCAGTCTTCTTTGTCTACAAATAATCCTCATTTCATGGAAGCATTTGTTTCGCCACCTCCCTGGTGGTGCAGTGGGTTGGAGCTCAGCTGGCTGCGGTCACTTCAGTGAATTCGATCTCTGGCCCTGAAGCTGACCCACATGGCGCGGCAGACATCTGTCTTGCCCGTTGCTCCCCTCAGCAGTGTACTTCATCAGTCGGCCTGTTCTGCTCCCCTCTCTGTCTCTGGTGAATCCTCTCACCCTCCACATCTCGCAGTTCTCCTGATTGCTGTTTATTTTCCTCTGTTAACTAGGAAACATGGTCACCAGCTAAGTGATGACTGAGGTGAAGTGCTTGAGGGTGAGAAGTTATAAAGTAGTAAATACATAAAGTATGTAAACCATGAAGTGGTAGCCTACTATTACTACTGAAGGAGGGAAACAAATGTTTGGGAGTAGCACTGAGCTCATTATAATGGGCCTGGTCACCAGAGGCAGCCAGGTACAGTGGGGACAGCAGGCTACGCAGAGCTACGTTTTCTCCTCCCGCTACCCCCCGCTACCCCTTCTCATTCCCTCCCTGACAGTCTGGTTCATTTATTTACATACTGTCCTGTATTTAATAACAATATGCCACAAGGAATCCATTCACTTATTGAGACATTTGTGTCGTGTTCCTATTTTCATTTCACTCCACATTTTTACTTCAAACATTGTTGTACCCAAGAGGAGGTCTTTGTGCTGCCATGGGAGAATTTGAGTCAGGAGATATGTTTAGCATCAATTTTATTGGCTATTACCAATTACTCTCCAAACTGTATCAACTACCCTCTCACTAACAGTGTTTAAAGGTCCTCATTTCCCCCAGACTTCTACATTTTTGCCACCTTACTGGGTATGAAATAGCATCTCC